AGCAGTAAGTAACCCGTAATACAGGTTAGTAGTAGATAAATCATTACTAACAATTTGATATTTATTTACTTTCTCTAATAAAATATAAATTTATTTATACAGTAAGCAACCCGTAATACACGGTCGTTTACGAGCGCTATGTTCAGGTACGCATGCGTAAGAAAATAACTACAAGTTATGAACTTTTAAAATGGCTGCGGTTCTTAACTACAGTAAACATTTTATATAACAACCATTCATTTGTTATTTATTTCTTATAAATTCATGTTGTTGGCTCATTTTTTATATAGATCAGTATATAAATACCTGAATTTCATAAGAGAATTGATAAATAAAGATTAAAACAATCTTAGCGTAATAAAACTTCAATTTTATAGTATCATTATTTATTAATATTAAAGATTTGTTTATTTCTTTGAAATCAATTTTTTAGAAATCTAACCGTAGAAATTCAAATTTTTTTTTTAAACAATAAATGAATCTGTGCTGTATTTAGAGTATTTTTCTAGTAATTGCTTCAACTTTTTTTCGATATAAAAATATACTATGACTCAAAGTAAATATAATAATTACATACACTTCATTATATTACGACATATAAAGTTAGTAGGCAGTTATAACTCAATTTTTATATGAGAAGTTGTTGTTTTTAGTAGTTATTTGTTTTTATTTTATCTCTTCAAGCAAATGTATACAGCTATGATATTATTCATCAACCATTCTTGCTGAATATATAGAAACAAAAATATAAATATACTTTAATATATATATATATATATATATATATATAATATATATATATATATATATATATATATATATATATATATATATATATTTATATAAATATATATATATATATATATATATATATATATATATATATATATATATATATATATATATATATATATATATACATATTTATTTATATAAATATATACATAAAAGTGAAACTAAACTGTGAAAATTGAATCTATATATATATATATATATATAATATATATATATATATATATATATATATATATATATATATATATATATATATATATATATATATATATATATACAGAGAGAGTAACTAAACTGTGAAAATTGAATCTATATATATATATATATATATATATATATATATATATATATATATATATATATATATATATATATATATATATATATATATATATATATATATATATATATATATATACAGAGAGAGAGAGAGAGAGAGAGAGAGAGAGAGAGAGAGAGATAAATACATACATATATATAACCAAAATATGCAGATGTTTATTAATTTATAATAAATTATTTTATTTAGATACCTCTATTATGATTTTCATTGTAAATACTGTGGTTAAGTGTCAATAGATTCAAAAAATAATAGACTTATATATATATATATATATATATATATATATATATATATATATATATATATATATATATATATATATATATATAAATATATATATACTAGTATATATATATATACTAGTATATATATACTAGTATAAATATATATATATAGTATATAAATATATATATATATATATATATATATATATATATATATATATATATATATATATATATATATATATATATATATATATATATATATATATATATATATATATATATATATATATATATATATATTTATAAATCTCTTTATTTTTTTCCCAATAAGTTCTAAATATAAAATAAATATTTCTTTTTTACAATTATTTACATTTTCTTTTTTTTTTTTATTTACAAAACTACCATTTAAATATTTTTTTAGTAAATAAAGTTTCATAATAAATAAAGTTATATGTTAAATAAAGTTTATTTCTTTTTTCTTTTTTTTATTGCTGGTGTCAAAATTCTATTTTGACAATTTGTTTTTAGATGGTGGGCTTTAAGGATACATTTTAATTGTTTTGTACGACAAGGAATAGATTGATATATAATACTTAATTTGTTAAACTCGTGATGAATCGATTCACCTCCTTGTTCACCGTACAAACCAAACCCAGCACCCCATTTTTGTAAAAATGGAATAGCGTGATCTTCCATCATGTGTAATTTGGGCGTGACTGAAGCTTCTGGCCAATTGACTCGATAAAATTTCATAAAATCAGAAATATATGTCTCTAAAGATAAAAAAAACTTTTATAAAGAGAGCATGTAATCCCATTCTTTTTATCTTACTATAAATTATCTTGCTAGATATGTTTGCTTATTTAACAAGATTATTTAGTCAAAGTATTAGTTTTAGTCAGTATGGGTCATACAGACCAGTATGGGTCATATATCAGTTAGTATGGGTCAAGCATGTTTGTTAAATGTGTTTTTTGCTTCCACAACCTCCTCTGCCCTTTAGCTATCACAGCCTATCATGGTTGCGCTGTACATTTTTTTTTTTGACAAAATTAAAATGGTGAACATACCGAGTTGTGTTAATTCACTGGTACTTATATTTTTTGAGGAGAATATGTGATAACAGTTAGAAAACTTATATATATTAGTTAGAAAAGCTGTTTATATTTGTTGCAGACTTCAATTGATTTTTCATGAAGAGTAGTTCCAGAAAATCCTTTTTTATGAACAAGTATAGGAACAGAATTGCATAGCTCTAATGTGGATTCTTCCTATAAATTAACAAATAATACATTTAATAAATAAGCAATTAATACATAGTAATATTATAAATAAGCAAATATTACATTTTTATTGTTTTTATTAGATTTAATATTTTATTTTATTGTTATATTAGATTTTATAAATAAAATAAATCCCTACTTTGAGCATTTTATATACATGGTTACCAATAAAACTTTTCCCATGATATGCTTGTCGCTGATCATTAAGTTTTTGTAATATCACCTCTATCTGTTGAGTGCATGGTCCCTCACTTTTCTGAAATGCTGAGCTTTTTTCCAAAGCTTTTAACACTTGTATCTACACAATTGTTGTTGTTTTTTAACAGATTTTAATATTAGTATGATTTAAATAAGAGATTTAACATGATTTTAGTTTTAGCATTATTTAAATTTGAGTCTAGAGTACTAGACTGACAGCTACCATAGCTACGATTATCTGTGTTCAGTAAGCTACTGATTTAATGTTTTTTTTGTACTTTGGCTGCAGCATTTTGTTTTTTGAACTTTTGAATTTGCAGTAGCTAAAACATTGCAAATCATTTGTGTTTTATTATTGTAAATACTCATAAAACAGCTGCATTGATACTTAGAACTAATTTTTGATAATTTTCATAAAATCAAACCGAACCTTATCCCAAACCTTAGATCTAACCAAACAGAACCCAAACTTTTCGGCTTTGGTTAGATCTAAAGTTTTTCTGAACAAAAGATTCAATTCCTATCTCTAATTTAAATAATAATGTGCTTAGAATAAATAATAGTTAAAATTATATAATTTATGTTTATTAGTTATTAATTTTAAAGATATCCTTACTTTTTCCATATGTGCTCTGTTTAGAGAACCAAGTTGAGGGATGTATATTGACTGAACATTTTCTACATTTTCAGGATTATTTAATATAGCTGCAGCTACAGCATCATTTACTAGCTCAATTTGATCGTCAAGATTAGCGATACAGATTTCAAGATCTGATATATGTTGTTGTTTTAAAATAAAGTCTTGATATGAGTCATATAAAAAACTGTCTTTATTTTTTATTGATGCAGCCAACATAATATCAACTTCATGGGCTGCTTCTTCAAACATGTTAAAAATTTTCAAATATACACCAAGAGCAATATGCAGACTTGGTAAAGAAACCTATGTACATACACAGGTAGGAGTTATAATTAAAATATTATTATTATTGACGTATATTAATTTTATGTTACAAATAGCCATCAGAGAAAATTACTGAAAATAGACAACCTAATTTTACCTGATCTAGAGGTATTTTTAAAATTGGTTCTGTAATAACATTATTGTAATATTTAGCATTTTCCTTTGCGCCACCATTTTTCTTAAATCTTTCAAAATCATTTTGAAGGCTTTCAATCGTACGTAGTTCTATAACAGGTCTTTCTTTTTTGAAAACTTTCATTTCATTTGCTGTTGCATGACAGAACAAACAGCAGTGTTTACCTAAAAATTTGAATTATGTATAGGGTTAATTGAATTATTACAGTCTACTCTGAATACCTCTAATACTCTATACCTTAAGATATCAAGAGTAGACAATATACTAATATTATGCTAGTCACAACGTAACACAATATCACAAAAGCTAAAGACTAACTTTTTATGTATTATATAAAGTAATAAAACAGCATACCAGAAGCTCATGAAATTCCATACAATGCACAAAGAAATTCATATTCACCAAAGATAAAAACTCTAATATTATTGCCCCTAAATATATATATATATATATATATATATATATATATATATATATATATATATATATATATATATATATATATATATATATATATATATATATATACATAAAGCAATATATTCACAAATTGATATTCAAGAATATGTTGGTTTATGTATAGTTTCCTACTATTGTATCGTTCCAGTATTGATTAATAAAATTTTTCAACATACCTATACTTCATTGTTTGTAAGTCTTCTATTTGTTTTTGAAATCTTGTCATGCCTACTTTAATATTAACTCTGAGGTCTTTTGATTCAAATATATTAAAAACAATTGTATTTTCTGTACTATTTGGATTTAAGGTATTAACAACCTGATAACACATCTTAAAACTTCCTCCACCATAATCTCCTCCAATTTTAATTTGAATTTCTTTTTGTGGCATAAACTTATGATACACAAGACTGTTACAGCTATTACAAATTTAAATGATAAGTTGAATAATACTACAAAACAGTATTCTATATATATACAAATAAGGTAAGTTTCAAAAATCAGAAATTAGATGCTAAAATTAGATGCTAAGATATAAATTCTTACCTTTCTAATTGTTCAAGATGAGTAAAAATATGCTTTGGTAAATCTACAATATAACCCCAAGGTACTTCATTAATTTCAATCTTTCCTTTTTGTTCCTTTTTAAATGTGAAAGGAGCATTTTCAACAATAATGTCGTTTCCCGACCAATTTTCAGCTACAACTCTTTGTGAAGCATTAGATGCAGTGGTTATATCATATTTTTTGAGCCATCTAGTAAAAAAAATTTGTTACAGTAAATGTATATATATTTAATCAAAAGTGCCAAAAAGTTAAAAATGTCATATATTTATACTTACCTAGACATTACTTTAAGTTTTTCCCATGGGATACCCATATCAGTTTTCATAGCTACCATCACATTTGCACTTATTTTAGTGTAATTTAGTTTTGTATTACTTAATATTGACAGTCTCTGATCTGGTTCAAATGATAATAACAATTTACTTGTTTGACTTATACTTGAATCGCATGAATTGCCAGCTATAGTCTCAAAATGTTTCAAAATATTTGTATTACGAAGTCGCAAAGTAGATTCTGCTGCCTGAGCACTGTTAACATAAGCTTTTGGTGTCTGTGTAAAAACGATTGGCTGTTAAGAAAAAATCAAAAACATTAAGTTCTATGACTTAATAACTTTTTTAATGTTTATGCAAAAAAAAGACTTACTCTAGGTCCTCCACTTTTAAATTCTACTGACTTTCCTCCAAATTTAGCCATCTTTTGCTTAATGACATGAAGCGCAGCTTTTTCTACCTCATATGGAATATCACTATTTTCATTTATCTTAAAAAATCATTGACACTAATACTTGCTACAAACGATTGAGGAACTGATGCCTCTGTAAGACAAATGCCTTTATGACTCTTATATAATTCATACTCTTTCAATAAATTAAATTTACTATTGCAAAAAGAATAAACAATAGTAAGCATCCTTAGAAGAGAATCAGTTTGCTTACTTGTGAACAAATCATCATAGAAAACTTTTTCATTGCATTTTGGACAAAAGGTTTCATCAAGATACTTAAACTTGATTTTTTCCACAATACATAAAAAACAAAATAAATGTTCGCATCTTTTTAATGAAACTGGTGTTTGTGGTATCTTATTACATATACAACAAAGACAAAGCTGCAAGAAAGGGTTTAAGTCATTTTTTAGTTCTAATATGTCAATATCTTCATTTAAATTGTAAATAGGTATAAGGTTTTCTTTAATTGAAGTAAACATAGCAATTGTCCAACATTTTCTATATTTTCCAGGTAACTTCGATTTTTTTAAACTTTTTGCTTTTTTTAAAAATGAACGTGTAGAAATTGTTGTATTTTTTTCTTTTTCAGCAATGTGACATGTCGCACAGTTTATGCTATGCGGTTGCCACTCATTGAATAAAAGCAGTGCTGTTGTTGTTTTTCTTTTTTTTAAATTATTGATAGTACAACAACATTTATGGCAGATTTTTTCCGGATGAACAGTTTTTATTTCTGTCAGCTTAACAAGAAATACTTGCTCAATTATGATTTTGATTTTATCAGTTACATTATATTGTCTTATCTCAACCCATTTTGCGCATATTCGGCAAAGGTAGTTTAAATTTTTGTTATGTAACTCCATCTAAAAGCATTACTTAATATTAAAATTAGTCAAAAAAATAAACTAACTATAAATATATAAATATATAGCATTAAAATATTTGTGAAAAACTAGTGTTGGTGTCTATTAGTCTATTTTAAACTGTGTCTAGCAACAGCACATACTTACACATATGTGTAAGTACCTTATTATACAGTAAATAATACAGTATAATAATATATTATGTATAGGCATATTTATTATATTGCATCTAACTATACAGTGATATGCAACACTTGTTGGCATTATTTTGAACTATAATTATATATATATTATATATATTTTTTTTCCAATATTGATCAACATGTAGTAGTATACATCAGATACTATAACACTTCCTTTGTTTACAGTGATTTTTTGGTTGGTGCTTTAACTTTTTTTCGATATAAAAATATATTTCTGCTCTTACGACTATCCCTAAATAATAAAGTGTTTTTCTTTCTTTGTAGTTATATAATATGAGTTTTAAAATAAAAAAAATACTTTATTATATCAGGGTATAGTGATCTTTTCCCTGATATAATAAAGTGTGTTTTATTCCTTCTTATGCATAAGAGCAGAAGTATATTTTATATAGAAAAAAAGTTGAAGCAACAACTAAAAAATCACTATATATAGATGAAATATCAATTTAAAATTTAAAAAAAAAATTTTTCAATTTCTACGGTTAGAAGTTGAGAAAATCGATTTTAAAAAAATAAACAAATTACTGACTCATACTAAAATAGCATTCGAGGAAACTGAAGGTTTAATACGCCAAGATCATTCTCAGCTTATTTAAATTTTTTAATTATGAAACTAAGTTATCTATCTTCTGATTTACTGCAATTATAAGATAAAAATAGTAAGTTGCGATTAACAAACCTACAACAAAAAGATCGTCATATAAAATGTTCGCTGTAGTTAAGGACCGCAGCCATTTTAAAAGTTCAAAACATTTTTAAATTAATTGACGCATGCGTACCTAAACATAGCGCTTTTTCCTAATATCGAAATGACCGTAAATACGGGTTAGTAGTAAATAAAAATTTACTAACAATTTGATCTTTATTTACTTTCTCTAATGAAATATAAATTTATTTATACATTTTTTTAGTTTAGCTCACTTTTATTTTTTTTGGCTTCTTAGTTGAAGAGAACTTTTAGCTTCATCAAAGATAAAGTTAACCATTTCTTTTGCAATGTTCAGACTTTTGCAATGTTCAGAGAATGCGCAAATCACAACCTTGTAGTAGTTAAAAATGACTTGAATTATATGCACAGAACATCGATGTCAAATTTTCAAATTCCGTAAAATTGTTTAGGTAAATATTGGGAATATATTCTACTCTCAATTTTGCTTTAAGCTGAGCCGTTTCTTTTTTTTTGAAACTTTTCATTTTACTGAGTGAAGAGCTTAAAAATATGTCACTACCGCACCTAAACTTTTCAATATTATTAATATACTTTTTAAATATTTTTAAAACATCTAAAATATTACACCCAAACTTGTAGGTATAGAAGTTGGATATCTGGAAAAACTATAAGTTGAAAAATATATTGCAATTCCGAAAAGGGCTTAGCCCTGCATACGGATCCTATATTATTATGATAAAGGTTATTATTAAACCAACCTTTTTTTTTAATTAGTAATCCAGCAGAAACTTGTTTATAAAAAAACATTAAATTAATATATGGATTTACTTTAATAGCTAACATGTATCAACATATTTATTTCAGCATACATCCAATCCATATTTATACTAATTTTATAAAATGTCCGGAATACATTTTGCCTTAACTTGGCGTTAAATTATTAGTTTTATTTCATTAATTTTTGTATAGATCAGGTTAATAATAGAAGCAATTGGATTTTACTCAATATTGTTGAAGTAATTATTCAGCTTTAATAAAATTGATAAAATCATATAAGACAGTTAAAAAATATATTTAAGCCTTTGTTCACTTTTTAAAAATCCGTGAAAAAGCAAGTATCAAGTTTACATATCTTTAAAAAAAATTTATTTACATGTTGTATAGTTAAATATGTAACAAATATATTTTAAAACAGAAGCATATATAAAACACATATTTCTTAAAAAAACAAAGTTGGAGCCACCATTTACAGCAACGAGGAGCCAAGCATAGCCTATTGTAAAGAAAACCATATCATATAATTTAAAATATTTATTACCGATAGGGACGACAATTAAACATGTTTAAAAAGCTACGTGATTCCATATTAGTAGGATTGTTATAGAAAAGTATATTAAAAAAATATATTTAAAAAGTATATTTAAAAAAAAGTGTATGAAATAGAAAACAGATTTTTAAAAACTACCTAATTTTGTAAGCATTTTGTCAATGGTGTTCAATTTTGAAACCAATATCTTTAATGCAAAGCCGACTTGTTTAACTAATCTCATTCAAAGAATAAAATTATTAACACTTAAAGATAAAGATAAAAAAAAAAGATAGAGATATAAACAATCGTACTATAGTATTATATAGATAAGTAGATATATATGAAAAAAAAACAACAACTGGAAAACAGTATACCTGCTTTTGGTAACCTATTGTGATACTGCAGCAGTTGCTGTAAGGATGCAACTGTTCTTTTTGGTGTTGTTCAAAAACGTAATTTTTATGTTGGCTTTCAGTAAACTTTAGTTTAATTTAAAAGACATCACAACGGATTTAAAATACTCATAATAAAAAAAAACAAAACATAAAATGCTTCAAGGAGCCAAACTATAAACATAAAAGATGAAGAATGGAATCAAGATAAATAAATTGTATTTATATAGCTAAATATATTGCCTTAGGTTTTGGTAAATTTTAAAAGTAGTGAGTTCAACAAATGAAACATACCAAATAATTGTTTTTAACAAAAGAATGCAGCATCATTATATTATGACAATTGGATAATGAATCAATTCAACTTTCGACTTAAGATTTTAGGGAGGGGTATTTAAGAGGGCTTTAAATTTGAAGTCAGGTTAATTGGTGAGAAAACAATTAAAATTTTCATTAAAAAAGATCAAAACGAATCAAATATACAACGTAATATATATTTAAAAAAAAAAAAATTACAAAATTAAAAAAAAAAACACCGAATTAAAAAAAAAAAAAAAAAAAAAAAAACCGAAGAAAAAGCAGCAACTAAAAAGTCATAAATATCTCTACTGAGAGAAGACCTTTTGGTTGCTGTTTTTTCTTTGGTGTCTCCCAACACCCCGGTATGGATGAGCCCTCCATTTAAAGGAGGGCTCATCCATTCCGCCATGATCTTTCCATTTTTTGAAGGACCTCTCTGAGAGAGGTCCCGGGTGTTGGGAGCAATAATTTTTGTATTCTTCGAATGATAAGGAATCTAAAGTTACAAATAGAAGAATGTAATAAAAATTATACATTTGCAATTATTTAAAAAAAAATTAGCATAACCTCACCATTTTCATTCGATACAGAAGATGCTGAAAAAAAAAAAAAGAGAGAGCAAATTAATAAGGGTTAAACATGCAACATTTTGTATTTTAATAAAAATATAGGGCAATAATGCAAGCAGTTCAAAAGTGTCATATTTATTAATTAATTTTTCCACCTATTGCACATATTTCTCCATACAAAACATATAAAATATAAAACACAGCCCTACCAGCTATACTTCCACCAGACACTAAAGATAAATGTATACTTAAATAAATATAAAATAATTGATAAAATAATGTTAACATATAAATATATACATATCTAAATAATTGTTTTACCCATCCCCCTCATTTCATCC